GTATAACATCAAGCTATGCAAGACCGACAACAGCGATCTCACCAAGAACATCACCCAGCCTGCGCATTACAAGGCTCTGTCTAAGGCTTTCGAAGCATGTAGGATCAACTCAACAGCCATTACACATGCTGGTAGAAAATCCGGTAGTAAAATGGCAGATCTGGGTGAAGCTGGTGATTCGGCAATTCGACGTGCTGGAAGATGGACCACTGACTCCATGGAGGGATCGTACTTGACCAACTTACCACGGCGATTATTGCGCGCGATGGCAGCTTTCGATGCCAACGGTAAAAATTTCTGGCTACCGCGCGATAGCGTTCAGCCTCGAGAAGCTTTGCTCTGTAAAGTTTTCCCGTGGATTGAAGAGTGGCAAGAAAAGATCGATCAAGGACTAGGAGACAAAAGTGTTGCGGCAGACGGATTCCTTCAGATGCTGCGTGTTCTTCGAAGGACCTTTTTGTAAGATTCAGTATTAATGATGGAGCGACACCCAGATTTATCTGTTTGGAAGCAGCCTCTGTTCAGCGATCAAGATTATTTGGATTTCAAACTGTAAGTAATTGAAATATCATTAAAGAGGTTATTACATGGTGCGATTATATATATATGAGTTATTTACCAATCGTACCTTGATTATTTTTAGTATGTTGAAGACTGCCATTGAAACGGCACCACCACCCGAGGAGCTCACTTTGCAGAAGTCGATGCCAGTTTTGCACAATTACATGCGCGAAATGTATCGCGATCTTTCACAGAAACTAGCTGTCCTTTCTCGAACGGTCGAAGAACAAAATAGAACCATGAATCAATTCATGGGTGATCTGGCAAACGGACGACTGACTATCACGGTGCAATGGAACGCACAACAGCAATCGCAGGCAGCTGCACTTTCTACAACAGCATCAACATCACATCCTACCTTTGCCGCCTCTCCTACATCATCATCCCATCCCGCTTTTGACCAATCCGCCACTAATGCCGCTTCAACTACCACTGCATCATCATCTTGTCCTATCCCTGCTAACTCGCCCGCGTCTCCACCAAATACAACCATGGTAGCCCCGGCCACGACATCCTCAAGCAGCTAAATGCCAAAGTACAGGATGAGCGAAAACGTCACGAGCATCCCGGATTTACACCGCGAATGGCATTATGGGCTATCCGGAAAACCTGCCATCAAAAAGCTGGAGGCTGATTACGGGAAAAAATGGCGTGGAGACAAGGCAAAATGGGTGTATCGCAGGCAACAAATAGTAAAAGGTATCGACGCGTTTATCGAGTGCCATGGTTTACAGCAGGATGAGCAGCGTGCTTTGGCTATGTTAGAATACTGGCGAAAGCACCCAAAGGCTGAATGGTGTGCTGGAGGAGTCATAAAACCGAAATCCCTGGATTGGATGAGCAAGAATGTTAAGTTGTGGGAACAAGTAGACAAAGTAGATTTCTAAATGTCAATAAATCTGTTATGCCAATATTTAGTTTGTTGTATTCTATGTATTCTATAAAAATCAAGAAAGAACACTTTTCTTTGAGAGTGATACAGTAGAAAGAATAACAATTTATTTTTTCATGAACAGAAAAAATCGATTAGTCTAATTATTACCATGATCGATCAGATTGATCAATGTATACGAAGGTCATTCAAAAAGCATCGATCATGCACGTCCTCCGACAAGACACAAGAGCTCAATGCTGGTTAAGTGAGTAAAATGGCTGAGGACCTCAGGGTTAAAAATGCACTTATTAGCTCGGTCATTGGGGTTTTTTTATAAGAAAAAACCCCAGAATTTTCGAGACCCGCTGGACCTGTGAGGACTTCAGCGGACCCACGGTAAAAATAAGTAGACATACTTTTGTATATCTTCAAATTAAAAAGTTAAATCACTACAGTACCACGTATCTGCAACCTGGGCAGATATTGTTCTCTACACCAAACTCTCCTCTCAACTGCTTTTTCAAGCTTAGAAGTATTCTGCCAAATATAGGCAGCACATCGTTCAAGCGAGACTTGAGAGAAGCAGGAACCTAAAAAACAAAAGTATATTTAAAAGCTCGCTAGATGAAAGATTGCCCTACAAAAAGTAATACCTCTTGCTCAAAATCTGCTTGTAGCCATTTTGCAATATTGTGCACGGAGACGCGGCAAATGTAATGCAAATTGTGGATTGTCTGCCTCAACTTGATATGCACTGCATGGCTGGGGGCTTTTGGCGTCAGAGGAATCATATGACTGCGCATTAGCACCAAAGGCAAAGCATAGTCAGGGCACGACTTGCAGTATTCGATGTCAAACTGTCGAATACCTAGATAAGACAAGGGTGTTAAATTTTGCGAAAATATCCTAAAAACAATATTTACCGCACTTAAAGATACAGGTGACAGCCTTGTGGGCTTTTTTATCAGCAGCACAACCACACATCTTATGGGTGGCAGGCTCGAGTGCCTCTGCGACCTATGCTTGCTTATACCCTTCTCTATAGGCTTTGAGCAACGAAGGAAAAAGGCTAGACTAGCGTACTGCACGCTTAACAGCTGCAGTCTGACGTCTTGACTGATAGTCAACTTCGTCCACCTCATCATCAGTTGACCATCCGTCAGATAGAGAAGAAATGGCTGGCAGTGATGATGCTCGAATTTCGAATGGCGTAGTTATATCACTTGCAGTTGACTTATTGACCGTGCTTGTCAATCTGATAAGCTTCTTCCCTTTATCTAAGAATCGATAGGCTTTTGTTGTTTGTTTACGCTTTTGATGTATATTGAAAGACATGCTTATTTGCACAGATAATAGGAAATGGGAACGAAGGGTTAGGCTTATTCAGGCACACTCAGCTACTTTCTCTATGAGTGGAAAAGTCATTAGCTGTACAGGCATAATTTGCGGCGTGGATTTGTGGTTTGCGGCCATATCAAAAACACTGGGCGCCGCAAATTTTAGTTTAGTATTCTTTTCATTGTGGAATCATTGTTCCTAGGACGGTTATTACAGTTTCAGATAGTGAATTACAGCGTTGCGTTTCCGACGTCGGTAATCGACAGCGTAGTTTCCGACCGTTGTAAATGTCGGAAATGTCGGAAATGTTGGAAATACAGTATAAAGAATATATATTTATCAAAAAAACTATAACAAAACATTATTCGAAGCTTTCTAGTGGAGGCAAACCAGGCAGAAACAGCGATTCCAGCTTCCACTTGTATCTCTTATTTTCGGCTGGATGAACTTCATCACTCGCTTGGTCTTGGCAAGAATCTTGACCCTCTCCATCCAATATTTCGAACCATTCGTTCGCCAAAACGTTCCATCTGGACGCCAAAACAGCGGCACTTTCCTCGTCGACATGTCCAGTTATGGTTTCTTCATGCATGTCTTCGTCGTCAGGCTCCTGTTCGTCCATGTTGTCCATGCTGCCCTCTATATACAAACGTTGACTACTTTCCATCTGCTGTAATATGGGTCGAGCAGTGGGCGTGGGTGTTTCAGTGCGCATCCGTCGCATGTGCGCATCTTCTTTTCGTAGCATGGCTCGGACTTGTGCAATTTTGAGCACCTTCTCCCACCCAAGTTCGTTTCGTCGATTGCTGTGGATGAATCCCATATCGCTAAACAGGCGTTCATAGGAAGCTGAGTTGACGCCAATTGAATGCACGCAGCGAGCCACGAATACCAGATCCTTGCACTCATGGTTGGCTTGCTCCATCATAGCCCAATATCGCTCTATTGATGGGAATTGCTTGGCCATCTTTGCACTGAATGGGTATTCTTACTCATGGTACCTTTGTATTTGCGCCATCATACTCTGAGATTCTTGTCTGGTCCACATAGAAAAGTATCGCGCAGCCCACAAGCCAAGCTCGAGAACAGATACGCCTCGGTTCTCGGTGTCTCCGTGAAAAGGATCCAGGAAAGTGTTAATATTGTTGAGACGATAATTCGGGTTTAGGTACAATGCCAGAAGCAAAAGTGGCTGCTCCCACTGATACTAGCGTCGCTTCAATCGACTGATAAAGGCACCCAACTGTTCTTGCGGTAACGTCTTAACAAAGTCGTTTGCAACGATGTGTGGGATGATACTTGCAAACTGATGAACAATATGATACAGCCTTGCTTGGTCGCTTTGCAAACAATCGAGGCTGGTGGCAAAAGGCTGGACCATTTGATTGCAATCCTTGTACATATACCCAGAAAGTTTCATCCTTGATAATATTTGGTACTTCAGGTGGCAAGCGAGTATCCATCGTTTCTTCCAAGGACAAGATGGTATGCTGCTTAAAGATATCTATGAATTAGTAACTTGTTGCATTAAGTTCGAGTTGACCGTGGATTACTATGAATTAAAATGGGTACCTTCAATGCAATCTGTGTATTACACAAGCTTCTGAAAGCGTCAAAATGGCTGTTCCATCAGGTACTTGCAGGTTGTCGCAAGGTAACTCTACGTCGTTGCGGTGCACCGGTCTGATGATCTTTAAGTTTTCGCGTCAAATATGGGGAGCAGTTGAACGCTTCAATAACTTTGACGGCTTGGGCTACGTAGTCCTTCAGCGAAGTAAAGGCCTTGAACATGTCTGCGATACAAAGATTCATTTGATGGGCAAAACACGGAAGCCAAACGATATATTGGTGGACGCGGCGCAATTGTGAACAAGCAGTAGTATATGCACTTGCCGAATCTGTAACGACTACGATCACCTGGATATTGTTTTCAGGGATCTTTTCGGCGGCATCAAACAGCAAGCTTTCAAGCTTACTCTTGACCTCTAAAGTTCCTGAGATCTCACCAGATATATCCTTGGCATCCCAGACCACGCTGCTTCCCTTAGCCGTGTTAAGCACCACATCTAGGATTGACTCCTTGGATACATTTTTCCAACCATCGCAAGTAAGGGTCACACCTTGAGATCTTTGGGCTTCCTCGATGATAGATGCATTTGCTTAAATGGCAACGGCGCTCAAGATTTTGTTTCCGAGATATTTACAAGATGGCAATCCATTAGGTTTGAACTAAGATGATAAAAAAACTCCTGTTAGGTTAAAAGCTTTTCAAGCTTAGTCACTCAGTGAGTATAAAAAGTTAAAGCATTACCTGGATACGACTATTCAAATGAACACACACATCACGAACTCTGGGATTCTCAATCCAACGGAAGGGCAAATTAGCAGAAACGGTGGCAAGTAAAAGTTTCCTATGGAACAATGCCAACCAATCTGGGTTCTCAAAGGAACCGTACTTGGCAATGGAGGTTTGGTTGAGTCTTCTTCTTTGAACCGATGTCTCTGAGTAACTTGATGCTTGACTAATCGAATCATCTGGAAAAACATCATCACCTAGAACGATATCTTCCATTTGACAAAGATCCGCCTTGTCTTTATCCGAAAGATAAGGGCACTCCTACATGTATATGTTTGCACAATAACAACCTTCTAGTGCCCACTGATTGTTGTTTTTAAAGCAGCACTTGATTATTAGACAACTAAATAAAACATACCCTTAGATGCTTTTCCAATGTCTTCTTTTTTGTGTTGCTAAATTCTTTTGCTCCTTGTGGATTACGTTCAAGACAAGCCTTGCATTTTGCACTTTTGTCCGACATCCACTTTCCATTCTTGAATTGATCAAAGGTATCAAAAAATCTTGATGTAAGGGTATTAGCCCTACGGCCGGCCAATGGAGCTCGAGAAGCAGTTAACGATGAAGAGTTTAAGCTAGTACGTTCAGCGTTGTTGGACATGTCGGAATGTAGTAGGTTCTTGTAAAAATATGAAGTTAAAGATGGAAATGTGGTGTACGTAGTTGATGATGAATTGTTGTGATAAACGTAGGTTGTGGATAGATAATAAAAGAAAAGAGGTAAAAATAAAAGACAATATGAAATACAGTGAGAGTCAAATATGAGATGATTTTTATTAAATGAATTCACAACCCTTTATATACTGTTGAAGATGCTGTCTAGACTTCCGTTTGGATGAACTGATGAATGGATCGCGGACATGCAGGATTTCGGATGTTGTGAAGATGAAGAAGGATGGGAAGGTTGAGTTTGGCGGTCAAGATAATGGACGTTGTCTTCTGATTGTAAAGAGTCATTATGCCTTGATCGGTGTGTTCCTTGTTTGGCGAAGTCTCACCTTTATCAGTGCTGAGATTGGTATCCGCTCTTTGACAGGTACAATGCGCTCAACTCAGATAAACTAGATTGAAACGAAGCTGACTCAATTGTGATCTATGTTTGAGAGATTATCGATATGGTATATGGACTTCATGCTGTGGTCAATATAGACTGCAGCCAAGATACACTATGCATGAATTGCTGACTGTTTTTAACGATTTCTATACAGATATCATACAAATAACATTACTTATTTAACGTCAATGTGTGTCCTAAAATATAAAATTACTCTTTATTCATAGTTCGAAAATCACCCTTATAAATTTCGACATTACTAACATCGGAAATCATTTACGGCCCATTTCCGACGTCGGTAACCCCCATTTCCGACACTGTCGGAAAAAGGGGCCATCAGAAATGCCAACACTGGTGAATTATGTGGTGTGAGTAGTGATGGAGGTATGTTTCTAAATATGAAAATTTATAATAAAATTAATAAAAGGGATGTTATTGCTATTGATGGCGGTTATACATTATTTATAAATCAACTTGAAAAATTGTGTAAAAATAAAAATATAGAACTAAATGATTATAATTTCTTTTATCCAATTAGGAAAGAGCCTAATGAAAATTTAAATAAATAAGAAAAGCATTATAATGATGTATTTGGTTCTTTTAGGTCAAGTATAGAAAATCAATTTTGTGAATTAGGAAATACATTTAAAAGATTTTCAAATAATAATTCTACTTTAAAAACAGATGATTATAAATATATTAATTTACAAATGAAAGTAGCATTTCTTTTAAAAAATATAAAAATATTTACAGAAACATTTAATATTATAACACAAGATCATCATAAGTTAAGGATAGAAAACAATTTTGAGTTTCCTACAGATAATAAATTAATTGATATAGTATTAAATAATGAAATAACACAATTAGATAAAATAAAATATATATCAGAAATACAAAAAAAAATTGATGATTTAGATATAAATAATAATGAAATGATAATAGATAATGAAAATTTAGAAAATACTGAAAATATAATTGATAGTAATAATTATAATAATGAAATAGAAGAAATTGATTTTCCCGAATATAAAAATATAAATAAGAAAAAGAGAAAAAAAGGAAAAAGTGCTAGAAGAATAAATATAAATTTAATTAGAGATATAAATAAAAATAACAACTTTTATGAAATAGAAAACATATTAGAACATAAATTAAATGATAATGATTACATATTTTTAGTAAAGTGGAAGGATTATGATGAATCTCAAAATTTCTGGGTTAATGAAAAAGACTTTAACGAAAAAGATTTAATTATAAAATAGTTTATAAAAAATAATATCAGATTTTAAATATTAAATTAAATGTTTTATAAATTATATTTAATTAATAAATAATTTCAAAATTAATACTAGTAATATAAATCTATATTTAATGATTAGTTCCCATACTTACCAGTTGCTCGCCTACTGATCTGCTGTCCTTATGAAACACCTATCGCGATCGAATGGCCAACGACTACTTTTTTGAGATGCGTAGGTCGCTCTCTGTGCCAAATGAGGCTAAACTGACACCCGATCAACTAGACCAGGTTTACCAAAGAGCACTTGGTGACATCGAGTCACGTTTACAAGCAACCAGTCATCGTCTGTCAGAATCCCTTCTCTCCCTCAAGAGTTTGTTACTGAACTTGATCTGTTGCCTCCTTTGGAAGCACTCGAGATTGTCGAATGGTGTGAGTACGATCAGGAAGAGCAGCGACATCTTCTTCAGACGCTGTTGCCAACATTAAACAACGATCAACGACACGCCTTTGACACCATCTACTGCCATCAGCTGACCTGACGACGATTAT